GACCCCTTCGACCTTCCCCCCTTCCTTCCCCTCCTATAACCTGACCCTTGATCCCGGAACACCTCTCCCCCTTAATAACTCTGATGTAGGGCAAGCTTGTGGGGCCGCTCAATGGAAAAAGGCTTCCCTTATTAACCAATAGGCCACCTACTGGTCAAAGGGGTTGCTATAATACTTTTCTTGGTCTAGATGTTTCTTTTATTAACCAATAGGGTTGCTCTAATAGCAGACTTCCTTTCACTTTCGATTCTTCGTTAAGTAGAACAGCAACAAGTGGCTTAAATTTATTTTCCACCGTGCACGTACCACGCATTAACCACATATCACCTGTTCATTAATCAAGCCTTAAACGTTTGATGATAAATTCCGTAAGACACTCGCACGGAGGGAATTTATTTTCAGGCGGTCTCACAAGAAAATCTTATCACTTCTGGTTGGTTGACTAAAGTTTTGTTCACTCTACGTAATCGAAAACGCACGCTTGCTAAAATTGACTTTCTGAGTGCTTGCATGGGTGTCATCAGTATCAGTATATTTGAAGGAGATGAAGGGTAGTTACATTTGCGGTTCCTCTTTGTACATGCGTATTGTGCTGTCAGAAAAATTGTAACTCAGTTTGTTGGCGAGGCCAATTGACATGAGCTGATGAGGTGGAACATAGTTAAACAAAAAGAGCAAACGGTGAACATACTCCTCGCTGGAGATCACTTTCCTGTGAGAGGACAAGCAAACAGACACCCATTCTTTCATATAAATGTGTGCAACTAAGTTGAAAGATGCCACATTAAGCACCCTATATGTGTGACGCACAAAAGATAATTACAACACGCGACCTGCTATCTGAAATTTAGATAAAGCTCACAATGCAGTATATTGTGCTGAAACGGAAAATCTGCGTTCCTGCTCAGCGAAGAAGAGCAACAAGGTCCTGGAGGCAATGCACTCAGACGAAGCTTTACCAATCAGCATATAACTTTATATGTCATCCAAAATAGTTTCCACGGTCACCAACAGACGAAAATGGCCAATACACATCTGAAAACGTGATACTTTGCAGCCTTAAAGGCATAAATAGCAATCAATAGCGGAATCATCGTTAGATATTGTTAAATTAACTGTTTTTGAGCGTATAAATGTGTCTGACAATATTCTGCAAAACCAATTGCAAAAATTAAGCAATAGCCATTATCTCGTTCCTAAACACGA